TCCAGCTAGTTCTAGCTAATGAATGAGTATTGAATAGCTGCATTCTGTGCATAGGCCCTGTTACAGGTTGTTGATCTCTGTTGTAATAGGGTTACGTTACCCTAACCCGTTATGTCGTTCGTGTATGATCCCTCTTTAATTTAAAAACCAAGTTATGTTTTAAGCATGAAAGCTGTAGGCCTATAGCTGTCAACTGTTCAAACTGTGATCACCAGTTCAATACATTTGACAAATTCGACTTGGTTTCTATTTCTATACTTATTTGAACATGTATTTATTTTTTTTATTTTTTTGTAAACATTTTTCCCACATTTTTTTTTGTCGAATATGTACATTTCGGTTAATCGGTTAACCGTTTTTTGGGGGGTTGAATATTCGAATATACATTTGCTTTCAAATTCCCATCCCTAGCTTGAACCTGTCCTCCCCTGATCCGAACACCAACGCACTAGTCCACTGCGCCACACGCCTCTTCTTATACTGAGTTCCCAATTAGTAAAGCCTAAACTCTAAACAACGATAATGAAATCAAATTTTCATGTAATCAATTTGTATCAATATTGTACACGATTATTTATATCTACATTTATTTATTTGTCAATTTATTTATTCCTTTATTTATTTATGTATTGCCTTATTTATTTATTCATGTTTTTATTCATACATTCATTTATGCATTTATTTATTATACGTCCTCCATATAAGTGAGGGGTCTGAGCTCTCTTACAGGAGGGGTAAATATGAGTGATGTAAAACTGTGAAGTGTCAGTGGTTCAACCGATCTGAAGCACTATCTGAAGCAGTATCACGTGGTATCGACGGGCAGCGAGGCTTCATTTGTCATCGATGACGTCACTGGCCTAAAACGATACAAGCCTCGATACACGCTTCACCAAAAACGTCCTGGATTACTCGAACCACGCTCCGAAGCCTCGGCACAGTACGTTACATCACTATGTATTTCTAAACACGGGTGACGCAGTGAAGCCAGCAGGTGCATGAAACATTGAGTTGCGTGCATCAGGACATTATGGATGTCATCGTGATACAGTATGTCTTAAAGGAAGCGACAGAATTGCTTTGATATTCAAATAACTGCATCCAGGGACTGATTGAGTCGAGCAAAAACAGACAGACAAAATAATCGTTGTTAGAAGTTATTATTATTTATTATTTAACAGAGAAAAACTTTTTTATATCATATAATCCCATTATCATCTTGTTATTCCTTTTCCTTGTGACCTCTCCAGGGAAACTGAAAGCTAGACCTGCTACTGTATTATTTAGCATTCGGTGTAAATAATTACACCAGTGCAATCTTAAATGTAATATTGTTGGAATAAATGAATAAGAGGTTTATCAAATGAAGTCTGTGTGGGTTAAATTAGGGTTCTCTACGGATGTGTTTTTGTCTTTTCAGTCAACACATCTGTCACTGTTGTTTTGATCACATAGTGGGATTTAATCAAGGAGCTTTGAGTGCAGATCTGAAGGACGATGAAAGTCCAGAGGAGGATATGCAGAGGAAATAAATCCAGCTTTTTATTCAGTATAAAACCTCCAAAGTCAGAGGCATGCAGAGCTTTAGAAAGTCTCACTGAACTCTCTGCAGCTCTGATGCTGTTTGCTGCTAAACCGTGACCTTTGAACATTTGGTAGAGGACGAGTTTAAAGAGAAATCCCCACAGGGAGGAATATAGGACATTATTATGATTAAAGTGACTCCATGCAACTCTTTGCCTCCAACCACTGAATGCCTGACTCCAGTTGTATTTGACCTCAGTTGCTGACGTCTCTGCTGACACTCATGTTGATGAGCTGTCTGCCTTGAAACATCCTTCCTGACACACAAGTCAGACGTGTCACAGGAAAGGCAACAGAGGAAGTGAAAAAAAAATCAGGCAGTGAACACAGACTCATCTGTGGAGGAAATATGATGCTGACAGGGTTTGATACTTTCTGTAAAGCCCCTGTCACACTGTCCCGAAATTGACACCCGATGGACACACGAATATGGAATTGTGAATTTCGCACGAAGATGGCCCCGAACCACACACAAAGGCAACATTTACATTACATTTAAGACATACAACTGCAACGAAAGTAACACAAACGATTATGTTAAAGTACTATGATACTGTACTGATATTTTCAGACTTTGTTCTTTACTTTATCCGTCTTTATATGTAGAAGATATTAAGTTTTCTCCGTAATGTTGTTTCCATAGCAACAACAACTTCCTGTCAACTCGCCTTCAAAATAATATATTATATCCTTTTCAGTTTCACAGAACACAAATTGGGTTATTTACATAATATGTTTACATGATTTTGTTGTGCAATAAAACAACCCGATGGACACACGATAAAGGAAAAGTTCAATTTCAGACAAGTGATATGAATGAAAGAAAAATTGTTTATTGACTGTTTTGGCAATGCACGAGTAATGCTTAATCGAGAAGGTTGAAAATAAAAGTAAACTTCAGCTAATATAAACCGAATTACCCTACAAATTAGCATATCAATGAATGAAAACAATTTACACACAAAGTAGTTTGCCTTATCTCCAAATATTAAAACACACAACTTAAATACCACGATTTTGGTTTAAATCTCTAATTATAACCCTTTAACAATGATCTCGCAATCCGTCACCCAGACGCGCCACATTCAGTTCTAAGCGAGTAACTATTTTGTATTTCTTTGCAGCACTGTCATCTAATTGTGTAGACTGTAGGGTCTTTGAAGTGTGTGTGTGCCTGTGGTGTACTGTGTTGTGCCTGTGAGCATGCCCTGAAGTTTTATATAAGCGAACTCTGCCTCCCATACCCAGCTGCGGGCTTCCTTCAGTGAAAACATCTTTAACAGCACCGGCAGCGGAGTTTCACTGTTTATTTAGCTGAGAAACAGTATTGACCGCATTCTTTGTTTCATCCCATTTTCTCTCCTCTCCTGGCTATTTACTCCCCCTGTCTTCCTCCTCCCTTCACTTCTCCTCCCTGCCTTCAGGTTAAACGATACTATTCTAGTCTGTGAATTTTGCATTACTGCGCGCATCGCTTCCGAACCCCATACGTGAGATAAATTTATCATGCTGAAGAAAATGTGGTCCTTTGCCAGTGTTCTGTATCAACCTTTATATTTCGCTGCAGAGGGCTTACCCCGTTTAAAGTAATATTTGTCAAAATTTCACACACTAATCTGTGCAAGGGACGAGATTGACACCCGGTCACACATTATTCAAAATCTCTATACAGCACTACACGAAATATTAGATTAGGCTGTAGGAGATACATCCCCAGTTTGGGGTTGTGGTTACTTTATTCTATACTTTACAGATGTCAAAGCATTTTTGTCTCAAATGACAATATATGGTCAGTTTTGCATTGAAGTCCACACTGTTTAATTAATTATTGCACTGAAGATGTTCTCAGTGGGTGCTACTATATTAGAAGAACTAGAAATAACTCTGGACGCTGAACCCAACAATCGTTCTGACTGTGTCATGAAAACATTATACAACATTGAAAGGCCAAGCCAAGGTAGACTTGTATTTTGATCTGAATTCTTGTATTTGGATTTGATCATGATGAGCCAATGTTCCAAATACTGTACGGGCAGGAAGGGTGGACAGCTGACATGGATTGAAATAGAGAAGCACAGGAGACACTTAATGGCATTTTCGGCCAAAGTGATATATCCGGTGCCCTAATATCAAAACCACATCGAAAAACACATTAAGGGAGTTGCGTAATGAGGGGTCAATCCCTTCAATAAATAAATGTACCTTAGTACGTTTTAAGGTACCTTGTATCGTAGATCAGTATCCCCCTTTT